TTCCTAAGGTGACTAGTAGCGTTTTTGCCATGACATCTACCTTCCCCCAATGGCTAAGCTGTCTGAAATTTCTTCCTTATGTAAGTTCCTTTCTCAGTATGTACCCAATTTCCATTGGCGCACAATGAATATAGCTTACTCAGCCAAAGAAATACAAAAAGCTTCGGTCAAGAGTTTTGAAAACAGTTCTTTAAGAGTTTCACAGTTTACCCGTTCCACAAACAGTTCAGCTCATGGCTGATAGTTTAAACATAATTATTCTCAATTGAGATCACATAGACCCGAGATTCAGTCAAGAGATAACTATTGGAACGAAGAGAAAAACACTTATATTAATTTAAAAGACAGTTTACAAGAAGATAGAGAAAATGGAGAAAGATGGGTAATTGCTCGTGAGGAGTCTTGATGGTTGTTTACAGAGAAGGGAAGAGGGGTTGTCACTTAACTATAATTACAACTGAAAATTAAACTAAGTTACTAACTACTACTAAGTGATCTCTTCCTTTCGGACTGCAAACCCTCCAGGATTCGATGATGTTTTTGTGTGAGGGAGGTCCTATTTATAACTGGAAGAAGAATGACAAGACTGTAATTCCCTTGGAGCTAGTTGCTTGAATGAGGGGACGGGACAGTGGCAGCAGAGTGTGAAGCTTGCGTGAATTGCTGAATGGAACAGGGTTTGGTGATGATTAGCCGTTGTTTGCAGGCCTTCCCATGTTTTGCTTCTGTTTTCAGCCAATGAGAACTCTTGATTCCCTGCTGTTCATGTTTCCAACTGCTCAGTTGGTGCACGGCCTTGCTTTTTAGAAGTCATTAACTCTACTTACCTGCAAAGTGTACAGAAGCATTAAATGAATGGAGCAGGTGCATTAAATGCGTCTCAGTCCGTTCCCCTTTTAATATATTTTAAAGGAATACGTTATCATCCGTTCCCCCACTGTGTTTTTGTCACAAATGTGTAAAACAAGTGATTTTCATGCTGAAGTTGCTTATTCGATGAGGGAACGTATGGTACTTTGCCATCAAAATGGGCTTAGATGGGAACGAATTTACATCCCATTATATACTTAATCAGAAAAACCAGAAAAATCATACAAGGACAATGAGAATCAACAACTCCCCAAGGCACAATCACATAAGAAGGAAGAGCGACATGATTAAATGATGCAAAAGCGTTGAGACACTCAAAAAGTTAGAGAAACATAATACAAAACGCGTAATGAAGATTCAAGGCATGAATCACTTCACATTTTCAAAAGAAGCAGAGGAATTTAAAAGACAAGGGAGGTACCTGAATAGAAAGAGTGTTTGGAGGCGCTTAAATGAGAGCTCTTGTACGCACGAACATCAAAGAGGAAGAATACAGAATAAACATTTTGCAAATGGCAAATGTGAAATGAAAGAAGAAAAATAGGGGGAATATGAAGTTCCAATCGTAACCATAGTTATAACAACCCTAAATATTGTATCATGATTAATGAAGAATTATGATAATTAATAAACGAGACATTTCAGATGAAATAGTTTATGATTAAGTAAATTAGAAGTATGGGTCCAATGGACCAAAGACATAAGCATTAGGGATCCAATGAATTCATGGATCAAAGTATAACCCAACAAAGGAAGTTTTAATTCCATTTAATGTGGACAAGTCCAAGTGATACAAAGAAAGCTCTATATGATAAAGTAAAGTCCAATAAGGTAAATGAAACCCAAATCAAGTTAAAGCCCAAAGTAAGGCCATAACATAATAAACCTAAAGAAGTACTATATGACTAGGAATTAAATTAGAATTCTTTCCCTACAAGCAAGAAGCCCACGGTTTTACTAGAGAAAACAAGCTCTAAGAAGTCAATTTAAAGTGTCATAAAATCATGGAAAAATAGGCACAAATTAGGTCAGGTTAATAGGTTAAAGGTCCATAATCTTAAGGAATAAATCATGGTCCAAAATTAAAGGAAATCTTTTCCTTCCAAGCATTTAAAATCCGCGGCCTAGGTGTAGGAAATGAATTTGATTTTATTTGATTTTCAAGCCATTAAATGCAAATCGAATTTCCTTAAGTCAAGCCAGTCAAATTCCTTTAAACAAGGAAGTTAGGATTATGATGATTAGTAGTCAATCACTTTCCCTAAATCAAGCAAATTGATGACAATATGTCAATCAATCAAATAATTCTGTTTCTTAAATCAAGGAAGCAACCTTTATGACGATTAGTCACACCTCATCAATCCCTTAAATCAAGGGAGCAACTTTTAATGACGATTAGTCACACATCATCAATTCCTTAAATCAAGCAATCACTAAATTTCCTTAATCAAGGAAATTGACATCATGTTCTTGTCCCTAAATTAAGCAATCTAACCTATGACAACAAATCACCACCTTACTCTCATTTAATGTGATCGAAACCTACCAGCAATCAAGTAATGGCAAGGCTTCTAGGTTGCCTATTTGAACAAGCTTTAGTCTCTCCTTTTTCCCTCTATAGCCGCGACACTACCAAAGGAAAGAACAAAGAGTTTAGTTCATTTTGTGAAGTCCATGAATGCTTCGAAATGGTGAGTGTGTTAGTGAGAAATACCTAATTGTTCCAAGATCAAATACAAGCTTGGATCTTAGTCCTTCTTCCTAATAATTCCACCAAAGAACCCTTCATCTCTAAGCAAGAAAATCCCTCTTCTCCTCTCTTTAAGCTTGCGGCCTTGTATGTTCAAGGAGGAAGGAAGTTCATTCAAGAAGATTCAAAGTAGTCAAAGGTCAAGAAGTGTTTCCTTAAGTCGTTGATCATCATCAAAGGTAAGCCTATGAACCTTCTTGGTTAGGAATGACATGTAAAAGCATGAAAGTGATATCTTAAGTATATGATCCCTAGAAGGCCGAACCATGTATGATAATTATAAGCATGAAGAGATGTTTAAATGATTTGAAAGATGATGAAATGATGATGTTAGATTAGCATGTTTAGTAGCCTAGGTTCTAAATCAATTTTGCATGATCATAACCTTAGTTGGCCGAATATATAAGATGATGTTTTGAATGATGCTCTAGGATTTAAATATGATAAATTATCAATAATGTTAGAAGCATGTTTTAGAAGTAATCCCTTAGGTATTTTAGGGCAATAAGGCCGAATGGTATGTAGCTAAAAGAGGTTTTATTTGATTAATGTTGAAAGGATCTAACCATGTTAAGTTAATAATATAATTGAAAGCATGTTTTAGAAATTATATTCCTAGATGTTTATCTATGGTGGCCGAACCTATACATGCCTAGAATGAAATCTTTAATAATTCTATTAAGTGTTATGATGACATAATAATGTCCTAAAACCTACACAAGTGGGTAAGTAAGCAAAACAACTCCTCTAGGTAATTAAACCTGCAAAGCCGAGACCTATACATGGATAAAACACAAATGTTGAATGTTATATAAGTTACTAAAAGATGATATGATGATGTTAGGGAGTCAAGGGAGCAAACATGCAAGTAAAGAGATCAAAAGTTGAAAGTATACAAGTAAAGAACGACAAGCACTGTAAGTGTTTACAATTGTTGAAGTAATCTCTCTATGTATGCCACCATTATGAAACTATGATAAGTTATGGTCTGACTGCAATATGTTTATAGTGCTTTACATTATGTGATTATGATATTTTTGAAACTTAAAACCATGCTATTAAATGTTGGCCTGTGCACTGATACTCCAGTTGCAACCCGACGAGGACTCTGGGTATCTCCGTAAGTCCGTAAAAGCCGGCAGGAATATGATGATGATGATGATGGCATGATATTTTTATATGATGATGTTAAATGTTCCATTTTGTATTGTTATTATAAACTGTTGCAAGAGTAAGCGTCATAGTTAGAGAATGCTCCAGCTGTGAACCTTACTGAGATTTTCCCCAAAATCTCACCCCCCTTGACCACCCATTTCAGGAAAAGATGAAAGAAAGTAATAAGAAAGTTATGTGGGAAAGAAAGGGTAAGAGACTGGTACGTAAAGAAGAAGAAACTCCACCTACCTGGGAAGAGAAATTAAAAGATCTAACAGATAGAGGCCTATGGACTGAGGCTATGAAATTATTAATAGAAGCTTTTCCACATTATGATTTCGATGAAGCACTAAGTACATGTAACAGCCCGTTGTACACCGGTATTGTTAACATTGATTATGATATTAAACGCAGTTACAATCACAACAATTCATTTATAAAAATGCGAATAAACTTTTCCCGTTATTACGCGAGGATTTAAAACAATAACAAGCGTAATAATTAAAAGCTGTGACCGTAACTGTAAACTCTTGCGGAATACTTATTTAAACTACTTCTATGTCTTATTTTACTTATCATAAGTTACTAAGGGGTTCCCAGAAACCCACTTAGCCAATTACTAACTTTTACGTTTTTACTTACCCGAACATGGTTCACTAATTAAATTACTGCGAATGCACCACAAAAATTCAGACCTTCCACTCAGGTTATATTTTTTTCTTACTTAATTCCCTTTCTAAAAAGCTATCACACGCTATGATCGGAGCACGTTTGTTCCGGATATCGCCGTTTGAAGTTGGATAAGCAAAACAGCCAACCAACCCCAAAACAGCTCAAAACCTCTCTCACTCCTCGAATTACTGCAGAAAATTCACTCATCCAATTGCTCTCAAATTTTTATTCTACAAACTAGACACCTCAATCTTCGATTTGATATATCATACGCTTAATTTGACCAAGAAATGAAGCAGGAATAAAATTCCCAAAACTGGACCAATACAGCCCCCAAGTGCAGGGAAGTTGTGTTCACTGACTTCCACAGGGCTGCGCACAACCTATAAAATTCTAATATTTTTACACAATGTAGGGGACATCTCAAGCTTCAAAACGGCGTATAGCACGTCCCTATCGGACCTCTATGGAGGGAGATATGCTCTCCCGAAGTTCACCTAAAATCTGCCAATTCTACAGAAAATTCGCCAGAGTTTCCTTTGTTTTTCCTTAAATCCCCAAATTTACATAAGCTTGCTAATACCACAAATATACCTAATAATCCAATGGGTGGCACACACAAGGACCAGCAATGCCTTGGGGCTCTTACAACCCACAATATACAACAATTCCATATCATATACAGTAGTATACATACATGATCCATAACTCTATATATATCATATCAAAAAGGTGACTCTGTGCCATAACTACAACATCCTACATCAACCTACATAAACATAATACATCACAGTGTCACAATATATGCAACAGACTCCCAAAATAAGCAGGCAACATCTATGCTCAGATCTACTCATCAACCACGGGCCTCTTGCCCCGAGAACGATCGTCAACTGCTGCGATACCTGAAATATATCCCCATAACGCGGGGTGAGAATGAATCTCAATAAACTTGGGGTTTATGGAGCAGTCTCCACCCAAGAGTCCACTTCCTGCAAGAAAATATCAGGTACCAAGACATAGATAACACCATATAATCCATATTAGAATTTCTGTATCATATATCTTTTCTAATAATTCTCATTTATTCTTATAATGTACTTTCTTATTAATCTTAAGTATGTTCATGTCTTATGTATGAATAAGGCTTCCATCTTATATTTGTAATGTCGTATCATATTCAATAGCATACTCATAATGATTAGAGAACTAAAGTATTATCGGCTATACCTTATGTATACCGTGATCATATCCATAATTGTTTCCTCTGTTCAGAAACCATAACTTACACTTCCAAGGCTTTATTTCATTGAAGATCCTATCATATTAACTTATCATAACATAAATAATATCATATGCATGCACTATATGAATGCAACTACGCAAAGTATCAATATTAACAACAATTATATCCATACGGAAACCATAATCGCCACTGATCATGGCGGAACAAAAAGGCTGAGAAAACTCCTAACCGAAAGCTTACCTGAATGCTTTCCGTTTCTATAACTTGTTTTACACAAAGACTATGAACTTAGCTATCCACGTGTAGTCCGTCTCACAGGGTTCGAATTTCTGGGATTCACACCTCTTGCTTTTCACTGTTACCATAATTAACGTACCGTTAATGACAGTTTATTATATTATTTATTTAAGTAACCAATATTCTTTCGGTTAAAAACGTTCATTAACTTTGTGATTCCAACATTCCTTTATTTATTACAATTCATGGCATACAAGGTCTTACTCTTAATTCACAAGTCATAATAGACCCTTAATCGGTTAGTTCAACCACCAATACCCATACATATTTTTATCTCATTAAGACTTACATACACTCTTACGGTCTACAAAACATAGACAAACAATTCATATAAGCTCATTCTAATTCATTTCTCTTACTAACCAAAATCATACATATATAATTTCATCAAGTTTAATTAGCTTATCTCTTGTGAAAGCATTCACACACTATAGTTCCATTAACTTGACATAAAACTAACATCAATTTCCTTAGCCATGTAATACATATTGGTCGAATATTTACATATACATATACTCATGGATTTACCATTTCATCTTAGTTAATTAATGCTTCATTTTACTAACAATTGCAAAGGAACATCACACACTCATAATATTAATTAACACCATTCAATGGCCAAAATACATGTATAGCCTAAATGTGCCCATGTAAGTTCCCCACAATTTATCAACTTTTATATTATAAAACAAGCATTCTTTAAGCATACCTACATGATCAATAATCATTCTTCATCACTCTTGCACTATATGGCCGATTGACCTATTTAATGATTCCATAATTTTCTTTCAAGCTTTCAATCACTTACGTCATATTCAAGGAACCTCCAACACCATTTAGCTTAATGACAACATAATTCCATTCACTTCCATGAAATAGCCGATTGGAACTTATAGAGTTTCAAGGATTTTCTCACCACCTCTACTCTTTACTCTGTATTCTATCAATCTTTAACCAATCATTGAACATGAGTTCATATGCAAAATTAATCAAACACATCATGTACCTATTTAAACTACCATTGCCAAATAGTAACTATATGACAAATTGAGACTTCTATCAACTTCACTACATTAACACCAACTTGTTTCATGCTAAGTAACCTTCTAATATATATTTTTAGTCGCACACACACATAAAAACAAGATCTAAATATGTCTTATGTAATTTATTTTACTTGGCCGAATTGGCCTATAAAGGATTCTATAGTCTTTCTTCATAATTTCACTCTTAATTTAATTAAAGCAATCATCAAACAATCACTTGAAATCAATATTTCTTTTAGACAATCTAGCAAACACATGGTTGGCACCACTTAATCACATTATGGCTGAAAATTTCTTTGTATATACAAGGTTCCTCTATTTTTATTTTCAACTAAAACAAACATATATAAACTTCCAACAACTAAATACCAATAATCAATCATAAAATTCATCAATATTTCCATGTTTAAACTTATTAATAACAGCCCCCCATCCAAGCAATTAATTTTATAACTTGAAATCTAACACACCAAGTGAAGATTATTTACCTAGGCTAGCTTTTCCAATCACCAGGGAAGACTCCCCAAAGCTTTAAACTATTAGCTTTTCCAATCACCAAGGAAGACTCCCCAAAGCTTTAAACTATGAAATAGTGTCTTTTTTTCTTTCTTTTCCTATGCAGGTCGCTGCTGCCCAAAGGAGGAAAGAAGAGATTTAATGCTTCCCACAAAAAAATAAATCTGGAAATAACTTCACAACATAGTTATCTACATGTTTCATGAAGACCACGAGGTGAAATGATGACTAGAACCTAACCTTCAAACTTGCCCTTTCTCCATTGAAGTCTTCGACCAAGGAAGAAGAGAGGGAGAGAGTACAGAGCGTGTTCTTTAAAGAAGGAAAGAGAAACCGCCTATTTAACATGTTGATGACCAAGCTTCTTCAATTTTTAAACCTTCATTTTAACTTTGTTTTTAATTCCTATTGGTTCCCCTAAAGTGCTTTGACTTTTCTTTTACAACAACTTTCATCATCTCTTTATTAGAAAAAATAACAGCAACGTAACTTGAAAGAAAATAGACAACACTTATTAGGAATTTAGGTTGGTAACCAAAATTGTCTTATTATACAAGTCTTTAAAGGTTTTAACTTTCTTAACCTATCTTAATTTCTATTGGTCCTTTCTTATCAATTTTCCACAACATTCATCAATCATCTAATGAAAGAAAAGAACTTACGTAACCATGTAACAAAGAAGAGACAAAATCGTTTATGACTAAGCAATATCACTAAGTGTATTTATTTACACTACTTTGACTTTTATAAAATCAAAACCCATCTTATTGGTTTGTAATTAACCAAGTTTGACTTTTTTTTTTTTGTAATTAATTTAAGCCCCATTTAATTAAATTAAAGATACTTTGAACCCACTAATTTCTTTTTTTAAACTATTTAATTATACATTCTAATCCATATTTAGGCTTATTTTGTCTAATCACCAAAATAACCCTAACTTACACCTTAATGACATTCATATTTTTAATCATATCAAATAATTATATTTGAATCCTATTACACTTGTATGATTGTAACATCTTATTAATTATTATTTCAATCTAATAATTTATCTCACATAATTTTCTTGAATAAGTGTTTAATTTAATTAGACACCTAATTAATTTCTTTTCTCTTAATTTACTGATGAGGGTTGTTATATTCACCCCTTCTTTTTAAAGATTTTGACCTCAAAATCGGAACACCTTATGTTTCTAAAACTATGCACCGTCAAAGAATTCATCTCAAATCTTACTTAGCTAGGTCATTTTTTTTTACTTAATCCATTACTTGCATTTCTTATGTACTTATAGCTTGTCAACTTTCTGCTTAATCTAATACTGGTCTCGTTTCATCTACACTTATTCCATCTCTATACCCATCATCTTGGTTTACTGACTAAGCTTATCTAACTATAGTCACTAGAATTTCTCAACCATAACTTAATACTTACTTGAATCTCTTACTGATACCTCAAAGAATCAAATTTAAGAGTTATACCTCAGACATTAAATAATTATTCCTCTTCCCGGTTAATCATCCGGTCACAAAATTCAAATTCTGATACCAATAGATTACTTATCGAAATATCAAATCCTAATATCTAACAGTACAATAACATTTCTCAGTACCAAAAATATTTTGTACGCATACATAACATATCTATACATAACTGTGCTGAGAAAACTTCCAAGAGAATCCCCGAAGGTCTATGTCTTATAGGCATAAGCCCCTAGGAATGTAACTTTAGATAATATAACATAAGACTCCCAAATGCAATCGTCCAATCATATAGAATTAAGTGCATCATTAACACAATTTATAGTTTTATTGTACATCATTCCTTACACTAATGATACAATTCACAATTTTTCGTATATCAGTCCTTGCACTGATCATACAATACACAATTCATTGTAACATCAGTCCTTGCACTGATCATACAATACACAATTCTTTGTACATCAGTCCTTGCACTGATGATACAATTCACAATTTTCTGTATATCAGTCCTTGCACTGATCATACAATACATAATTCATTGTACATCAGTCCTTGCACTGATGATACAATTCACAATTTTTCGTATATTAGTCCTTGCACTGATAATGCAATACACAACTTTATTGTACCTCAGTCCTTGCACTGATAATACAATACGTAACTTTATTGTACATCAGTCCTTGCACTGATAATACAATTTCACAAATTTATTGTACATCAATCCTTGCACTGATAATACAATTTCATCATTCAATGGTACCCTAGTCTTTTCACTAGTCATATCATCTTGACACTCAATTTCGTTTTACTCTCATGCATGTATCTACACTTCATGTAATTACCTATCAATTTTCATCACACTAGATGAGTATTCTATAGAAAACATTTCTAAAATTTCATACCTTTAGCTATCTTGAGGTTTTCCTCCCAGTAAGTGGCTCTAATATATAAGTTTGACCTCCTGCTTGAGTCCCATCAATTTCTTGTACACTTGCAACCTGATCTATCCTGGTTGGACAAACATGAGCAAAGTGGCCTAATTTGTCACATTTGAAACACGTCTTTGTAGTAAACCAACAAGTACCTCCATGGTGTTTCCCACAAGTGTCACATTTAGGGAATGTGAATTCATTTCTGTCACTATTACCATTTCTCTTGAACTCATCACCAGATTGCTTCACTCGTAAACCTTTATCCTTATTATTTTTCAATTTAACATCAGTACCGTTGGTCCTCTTGACCTCAGCATCACCAAAAGTAGAAGATTTCAGATATCTACTATAAACAGTCTCTACCCGTTTACACTGGGTAATCAGATCAGCAAAATTCCTCACAGCTGTATTAGCCATACGCTTTGCAATCTTCTCATTAAGTCCCCTCTGAAACTTAGCAGATAAGAATTCCGAGGTAGGCAGAGTCCCACCATAATTAGCAAACTTGACTAGTTCATTAAACTTTGCAGCATATTCATCAATAGATAAAGAGCCTTGGACCAGACAATCAAATTCACCCTGCTTGGCTTCCCTAGCATCCCTAGGAAAGTATTGCTCGTGAAACAAATTCTCAAATAGGTTCCAAGTAAGTTCTTGCCCCTGTATTACAAAAGGCCTAGAAACGTCGCACCACCACTCATGGGCATCTCCCTCCAGCATATAAACAGAGTACCGAAACTTCTGAGGGTCACGACATCTCATAACTTGGAAAATTTTATCCATACCCTGCAACCAAGTAGTGACCACTTTTGGGTCTTTAGACCCCAGAAAAGTAGGAGGCTTGTGTTTACGAAAAGAAATAAGTCTCCTTTCCTCAATAACACCCTCGTCATACTGTTCAACAATAATAGATGGCTCAACAAAAATAGTAGGTTGACTAGCCTCACCAGTGTGATGACTAGCTCCACTCTCCCTCTGCTGGGGAGTAACAGATGGCGTAGGTGTAGGAGTCACCGTAGTCGTGTGAGGAGGAGAATCATCCCTCCTATGTTGAGCTCTCTCAGCCCTCATCTCAGTCATGAAGGCATGCAGCATGTCCTGATTATTCTTCATCAGGTTCTCTGTCATTGTTCTATTAGCAGCCGTCTCCGCCTGCAGAGCATTCAGAACTGCAGTAACCGGATCAGGCGGTGGAGGATCTGTACCTCGCGTCCCACAGCCATCACGAATCCCCCTCATGATAACTGTAGATGTAACACAAAAGAATGAGCTGATCAGACCCACACTGAGGAATCACATATACATTAATCATAAAGGGTTTACAGATAGCTAAGCAACACAACATATAGTCATACCTAATCAGAGTTCCCTAGTAAACTGCTCTGATACCATAAAATGTAACAGCCCGTTGTACACCGGTATTGTTAACATTGATTATGATATTAAACGCAGTTACAATCACAACAATTCATTTATAAAAATGCGAATAAACTTTTCCCGTTATTACGCGAGGATTTAAAACAATAACAAGCGTAATAATTAAAAGCTGTGACCGTAACTGTAAACTCTTGCGGAATACTTATTTAAACTACTTCTATGTCTTATTTTACTTATCATAAGTTACTAAGGGGTTCCCAGAAACCCACTTAGCCAATTACTAACTTTTACGTTTTTACTTACCCGAACATGGTTCACTAATTAAATTACTGCGAATGCACCACAAAAATTCAGACCTTCCACTCAGGTTATATTTTTTTCTTACTTAATTCCCTTTCTAAAAAGCTATCACACGCTATGATCGGAGCACGTTTGTTCCGGATATCGCCGTTTGAAGTTGGATAAGCAAAACAGCCAACCAACCCCAAAACAGCTCAAAACCTCTCTCACTCCTCGAATTACTGCAGAAAATTCACTCATCCAATTGCTCTCAAATTTTTATTCTACAAACTAGACACCTCAATCTTCGATTTGATATATCATACGCTTAATTTGACCAAGAAATGAAGCAGGAATAAAATTCCCAAAACTGGACCAATACAGCCCCCAAGTGCAGGGAAGTTGTGTTCACTGACTTCCACAGGGCTGCGCACAACCTATAAAATTCTAATATTTTTACACAATGTAGGGGACATCTCAAGCTTCAAAACGGCGTATAGCACGTCCCTATCGGACCTCTATGGAGGGAGATATGCTCTCCCGAAGTTCACCTAAAATCTGCCAATTCTACAGAAAATTCGCCAGAGTTTCCTTTGTTTTTCCTTAAATCCCCAAATTTACATAAGCTTGCTAATACCACAAATATACCTAATAATCCAATGGGTGGCACACACAAGGACCAGCAATGCCTTGGGGCTCTTACAACCCACAATATACAACAATTCCATATCATATACAGTAGTATACATACATGATCCATAACTCTATATATATCATATCAAAAAGGTGACTCTGTGCCATAACTACAACATCCTACATCAACCTACATAAACATAATACATCACAGTGTCACAATATATGCAACAGACTCCCAAAATAAGCAGGCAACATCTATGCTCAGATCTACTCATCAACCACGGGCCTCTTGCCCCGAGAACGATCGTCAACTGCTGCGATACCTGAAATATATCCCCATAACGCGGGGTGAGAATGAATCTCAATAAACTTGGGGTTTATGGAGCAGTCTCCACCCAAGAGTCCACTTCCTGCAAGAAAATATCAGGTACCAAGACATAGATAACACCATATAATCCATATTAGAATTTCTGTATCATATATCTTTTCTAATAATTCTCATTTATTCTTATAATGTACTTTCTTATTAATCTTAAGTATGTTCATGTCTTATGTATGAATAAGGCTTCCATCTTATATTTGTAATGTCGTATCATATTCAATAGCATACTCATAATGATTAGAGAACTAAAGTATTATCGGCTATACCTTATGTATACCGTGATCATATCCATAATTGTTTCCTCTGTTCAGAAACCATAACTTACACTTCCAAGGCTTTATTTCATTGAAGATCCTATCATATTAACTTATCATAACATAAATAATATCATATGCATGCACTATATGAATGCAACTACGCAAAGTATCAATATTAACAACAATTATATCCATACGGAAACCATAATCGCCACTGATCATGGCGGAACAAAAAGGCTGAGAAAACTCCTAACCGAAAGCTTACCTGAATGCTTTCCGTTTCTATAACTTGTTTTACACAAAGACTATGAACTTAGCTATCCACGTGTAGTCCGTCTCACAGGGTTCGAATTTCTGGGATTCACACCTCTTGCTTTTCACTGTTACCATAATTAACGTACCGTTAATGACAGTTTATTATATTATTTATTTAAGTAACCAATATTCTTTCGGTTACAAACGTTCATTAACTTTGTGATTCCAACATTCCTTTATTTATTACAATTCATGGCATACAAGGTCTTACTCTTAATTCACAAGTCATAATAGACCCTTAATCGGTTAGTTCAACCACCAATACCCATACATATTTTTATCTCATTAAGACTTACATACACTCTTACGGTCTACAAAACATAGACAAACAATTCATATAAGCTCATTCTAATTCATTTCTCTTACTAACCAAAATCATACATATATAATTTCATCAAGTTTAATTAGCTTATCTCTTGTGAAAGCATTCACACACTATAGTTCCATTAACTTGACATAAAACTAACATCAATTTCCTTAGCCATGTAATACATATTGGTCGAATATTTACATATACATATACTCATGGATTTACCATTTCATCTTAGTTAATTAATGCTTCATTTTACTAACAATTGCAAAGGAACATCACACACTCATAATATTAATTAACACCATTCAATGGCCAAAATACATGTATAGCCTAAATGTGCCCATGTAAGTTCCCCACAATTTATCAACTTTTATATTATAAAACAAGCATTCTTTAAGCATACCTACATGATCAATAATCATTCTTCATCACTCTTGCACTATATGGCCGATTGACCTATTTAATGATTCCATAATTTTCTTTCAAGCTTTCAATCACTTACGTCATATTCAAGGAACCTCCAACACCATTTAGCTTAATGACAACATAATTCCATTCACTTCCATGAAATAGCCGATTGGAACTTATAGAGTTTCAAGGATTTTCTCACCACCTCTACTCTTTACTCTGTATTCTATCAATCTTTAACCAATCATTGAACATGAGTTCATATGCAAAATTAATCAAACACATCATGTACCTATTTAAACTACCATTGCCAAATAGTAACTATATGACAAATTGAGACTTCTATCAACTTCACTACATTAACACCAACTTGTTTCATGCTAAGTAACCTTCTAATATATATTTTTAGTCGCACACACACATAAAAACAAGATCTAAATATGTCTTATGTAATTTATTTTACTTGGCCGAATTGGCCTATAAAGGATTCTATAGTCTTTCTTCATAATTTCACTCTTAATTTAATTAAAGCAATCATCAAACAATCACTTGAAATCAATATTTCTTTTAGACAATCTAGCAAACACATGGTTGGCACCACTTAATCACATTATGGCTGAAAATTTCTTTGTATATACAAGGTTCCTCTATTTTTATTTTCAACTAAAACAAACATATATAAACTTCCAACAACTAAATACCAATAATCAATCATAAAATTCATCAATATTTCCATGTTTAAACTTATTAATAACAGCCCCCCATCCAAGCAATTAATTTTATAACTTGAAATCTAACACACCAAGTGAAGATTATTTACCTAGGCTAGCTTTTCCAATCACCAGGGAAGACTCCCCAAAGCTTTAAACTATTAGCTTTTCCAATCACCAAGGAAGACTCCCCAAAGCTTTAAACTATGAAATAGTGTCTTTTTTTCTTTCTTTTCCTATGCAGGTCGCTGCTGCCCAAAGGAGGAAAGAAGAGATTTAATGCTTCCCACAAAAAAATAAATCTGGAAATAACTTCACAACATAGTTATCTACATGTTTCATGAAGACCACGAGGTGAAATGATGACTAGAACCTAACCTTCAAACTTGCCCTTTCTCCATTGAAGTCTTCGACCAAGGAAGAAGAGAGGGAGAGAGTACAGAGCGTGTTCTTTAAAGAAGGAAAGAGAAACCGCCTATTTAACATGTTGATGACCAAGCTTCTTCAATTTTTAAACCTTCATTTTAACTTTGTTTTTAATTCCTATTGGTTCCCCTAAAGTGCTTTGACTTTTCTTTTACAACAACTTTCATCATCTCTTTATTAGAAAAAATAACAGCAACGTAACTTGAAAGAAAATAGACAACACTTATTAGGAATTTAGGTTGGTAACCAAAATTGTCTTATTATACAAGTCTTTAAAGGTTTTAACTTTCTTAACCTATCTTAATTTCTATTGGTCCTTTCTTATCAATTTTCCACAACATTCATCAATCATCTAATGAAAGAAAAGAACTTACGTAACCATGTAACAAAGAAGAGACAAAATCGTTTATGACTAAGCAATATCACTAAGTGTATTTATTTACACTACTTTGACTTTTATAAAATCAAAACCCATCTTATTGGTTTGTAATTAACCAAGTTTGACTTTTTTTTTTTTTGTAATTAATTTAAGCCCCATTTAATTAAATTAAAGATACTTTGAACCCACTAATTTCTTTTTTTAAACTATTTAATTATACATTCTAATCCATATTTAGGCTTATTTTGTCTAATCACCAAAATAACCCTAACTTACACCTTAATGACATTCATATTTTTAATCATATCAAATAATTATATTTGAATCCTATTACACTTGTATGATTGTAACATCTTATTAATTATTATTTCAATCTAATAATTTATCTCACATAATTTTCTTGAATAAGTGTTTAATTTAATTAGACACCTAATTAATTTCTTTTCTCTTAATTTACTGATGAGGGTTGTTATACCAAACGCCCCCTGAGATCAATTGCTCAGAACCAATAGGCACTCGCGAGATTCTATAACTCCTACTCGCTGCAAAGACACTCAAAGACGCAACCTAAGAGGCATCAGTACCTGCGACATATCCTGACAGACTTCAAACACCAACTCACCTTAACCCACCAATAGAATAGACATCACCCCTCAACATTGGCGGACCCACTTGCGGGCAAATGCCCGCAAGTGCGGTCATAAACTTTTTGATTTTAATTTTTTTTTTTTTTTTTTTTTGTAGATTGTTATTTGTCTCTTGATTCAATATATATATTAGGAGTAAATAATTTTTTAAGTCCCTAACAAAAAACATGATTCTCAATTTAGTCCTTTACAAAAAAAAATTAGTCTCGAGGTCCTTAAAAAATTTAAAGTAGATCAATTTAATTAAAATCGTGGTCCATCACAAATTCAAAAAAGACCTACACTAGTCCCACAAAAAGACCAAAGTGGGTCCATAGGGATCAGGTGACTAATTATTTTTTTATAATGGACTAAAGTGAGGACCAAATTTTTTTTAGGGACTAAAAAGGATATTTATTCTTATATTAGTTAGCAACGTAACAACGTACGAAGATGATTAAAACAACGCAACAACGCACATTGATTAGAAAGAAAACTTATTCTTCCTCCTTTGTCACGTACTCATTTCCACGTTCTCTTCATCCTTTGTTTCCTTTTTTATTTTTATAAAAAGAGATGATTGATTGTAGGTCTGACATTCTCAAATAAGTTAATATCTAGAGACGAGACCTTCACTGTGATTTTGTTTTACTTCTGTACAGGTAGTGTTAACTTTTTTATTCACCACTATAAAATAGAAGGGATAGGTTATTCTACTTACCATTTTTTTGCCTACCTCCACCCTCCAACACCGTTAGATCAGAATCTTAACTAACATTTATATTTTTCTCTCTTCTTGAGATTTTGATCTAACGGTATTGGAGAGTGGTAGGCAAAGGTAGGCAGAAAAATGTTAGGTAAAATAACATATCCCAAAATAGAATGATGATGTATGGATGTACTGGAGTATATTCTCATATTTGTTTTGAAGGATTGATAAGATTTAGGGGGAAAATAATTGGTCAAACTATTGTCTGCAGCTTGTCATGGAAGCAACTAGATTATGAGCGGGTTCAAGCCACTGATTGTGCGGACATAAATTTTTTTTCCTGGGTCCGCCACTGCCCCTCAAAGTCGGCACAAGCAAAGAGACAACTACACTATAAATACCATAGTAAACACTCATAGCAGATTATGTCTTTCTTGAGAGAAGAGACCAAGAATAATAGAAAAAATCTCTGTTACCCTAATTCTCTCCTCCTCAAATGGAATCTCATTTTGTACGAGACTAGGGGTGTTCATCAACCGATCCAAACCGATTTAAACCGCGGTGATCGAACTGAAAACCGATAACCGAATAAACCGAAAATCGAAAAACCGAAAACCAAAAAAAAATCGCAAATTTTAATTGGATTGGATCGGTTTTTGGATGGGTTGATGAAAACCGATCCAATATATTAATTCTCCTCTACCTACTTGGGTCTTTCCCCAATCATAGCTCAAAAAATTTTAAACCCAAGACCCATTAACCCACCAACTAAACCCAAGAAAAAAACTAGTCACATCTCATCAACAAAATTTTATCTTTGTAGAGCTTCATATCTCATTGCCCAAAAAAAAAACCATATTATAATTTACTAATGCTTTTGTATTTAAAAAAATAAATATTTACAAAGCCAATATATACAAAAGATATTATTTGCACAATAATCATGAAATAAATTTTAGGCTTTTCAAAATACCGAACATCAATCCAATCCAATCCGAAAAAAATTGGATCGGATCGGATCGGATTTGAAAAAAAATCCAAACCGAATGGATGATTATATGATCAAACCGAAAGAATTGGATCAGATGATTTTTACTTCTAAAACCGATCCAAATCCCTATATGAGACCATCTCGCCGAAATACTTGTTCATCATATTAGAGATCTTATCCTATCCCCTCAAATTTACCAGTCTCATTCATGTGTGATCGGAATCAAATATCATTCCTTTATGTTTTGCAAGTTAACAGATTATACAAAAGTAATTTTTTTTAATATCCATCATAAAATGTATGAATTCAATGTAGTAGTGCATTTTAATTTTTGATGAATGGCTAATAAGTTTT